AAATATCATGAGTACTGCAGCTCTTGCGAGGCGATGATGATCATTATCCTCACCATAACGCTCAGGAGGTTGTATTTTCGCGCCTCACCAACGCCACCTTCCTTCTTACCTAACTCAACTCTTTGATTAGACGTTCAATGAACGGATTAAAGTGAACAAAAAGAATAAAATCAGCTCAATTATGATTAATTAGAAATAAAAAAGCATCCCCAGGGATTGTCAGAAATGTCTACCAGAGAATATCGACACACGCATAGACACAACCTGCTGGGTGATGTGATGATCCGCACAAATCAGCCACGGACCACCACCACCACCACCACTCATTTTTAATCAGTAGTTTCTTTTGTCCCAATCATCATCCTCTCCATCTCATGAACTCATTTGATTTGGCGTAGATGACTACGTGTTAATTCAGTTATTACAACTGATTATTGTTGTGGCTGTGGAGTACAGTCAAACAGACGTGAATCTATTCTGCTTAAAGCAGTTTATAATTGAGTCAAATCTGATGATTTGGGCAGCCATCACAGCCATCTCTGATGAGTCACCTTTTGGAAATTTTTCGTCAAACCAGGTTCTCTCATTAAATCAATACTGAGTAGCTACAGCATCCTGTTTTTGTTCCGGGTCCACTGATTGAATATATTGGTTTACCGAGGTAGAGAATAATGTTTCCCCTATACATCAAAGAATTATGCAACCAGCGCGTCATGTTACGTATCAGGCATCACAAAGGAACTTAGGAATCTTAACTGCCATGTGCTTTCATTACCGCATGTTAGTTTCGTTAAGCGTATGATAGAAGAAACGACGAGACAACCCACGTTTTACGGATGAATAACTAACTATGGGACAGTTATCTCTCTAATTTTCGAAACTAAAGCTGCCTGTTTGAAGACCAAAGGGTCTGTACATCATTTTCCGTCTCCTATGTGATCACTCTATTCCTTCATGAACCGAGCTGTTGTCTTCTGAATCGATTCGATTAGAAGAAAACACACTTTACTTTCCTACCTTTGAAGCTACCCCGTGTTCGTTGAACGGGGTTTAGACGCTTGAATTCTTCGTATGTTTACCTAAGACCCCAGACTGGACACGTTCACCCGGACCAAATGCGTTTTGTCACTGTCTTTCTATTCGATAGATCCATCTCGCAAAAAAAACAGAACTGACTTGTTTTCGACGACCTGCGGAAGGTCAAAACAAAACGACTGAATTTCGTTCGCCAGATGCACAGACTACTCAAGAGCGGTGCGGCGGTGCGGCAAGGTGTGTGTGTGTGTGTGTGTATGAAGTGGAAGCGGTGTAATGCATTCATGAGTTCCGACCAAGCTTTACCGTTTCACACAGTTTCATCGGATTAAAGTGTAAATGAACCACAGCAGTGAGTCTACTATTCAGCAGTGAGTTTTCGAACTATAGCAAATCATCCAGTAGCATCCGGAACAAATTTACGCGTACACGATACCCTACTAGCCAAACAAAATCAAGTTCACTCTCTACCAGTTGAGCTCCAACGATGCCACATCAACATCAATGATCTTTCCACATTCAAATCACCTCCATCCAACTTACAAAGGCATCTGGCTGTACAAAATAGCGTAGACGGCAAAGGGGTTTGAATCCCACCGAGCCTACGGAACTTTGCACAATCTGAACATAAGACTCCAATCTGCCAAACAACAATGTGAAAAAATCATGTTCGATTAAATTATGCGTGCATTCAACAAAACTTTTGAATCGACAACGATTGACGGTACTAATCCAAACAATCAATTTACCCAAGAGTACTTCACTTATACACAGTGTGTATATGTATTTGTATGTGCGTGTTTTTGACTTCATTGTATTTATGATGAAAACCGGTACACCCAGTATCCAGGCCGGAACAATGGACGTCATGGGGCATGGGATGACCCTTGTGATCAGGTAAAATAGTATTCCATTCACCTGTTCTTCCCGAAAGATTGCTGTTGCACTTATCATACATAATCTCTCCAAACAACCCATGCACATACACCTAACCTTGAGATTTTGATCCGTTCAGAAACCAGACTTGTCTTTCCGCTGGCATCACTTCTAATCGTTTATGTTTCACGTGATCTTTACTCGCCCAGTGAGAAACACGATTTTCAAATCTGATTCGCGCTGTTCTTCAGTTGGTGCGCGTCAATTTTCCCGATCAGATCGGGTCCTCAAACGGGATCTGTAACATATACCAAATACGAAAAAAGATATGGACGACGTAGACCTTAACATCCGAGAAAGCACTATTCATTTTCAGGTTCAGTATGTACAACCATTAACCATACATTTTCGTGCGCTGGTTTTGGTTGCTGTCTTTGGGTGCCCATTTGGATGAACTGTAGGCAACAGAAGGGAAGGTTGAAAGTAGAGTTGAACAGAAAATGGAGATCTTTCGTAGACTCAGTTTGCGAAGAAATCGAGAAGATGGACGAATGTCATTATTCACGACACTTAACTATATCACTTGGTGTCTCTAAACACCGATTACGATCATCCAGCCAGGGAGCTTAACGGTACCTATGTGACCCAGTGTCGTGTTTAGGGTTTTCATACCCTCAAGCCAGGTCTTAGCTTGACCACCCTTGGTTTTATTTTCACTCACTACCTACCTCGGCAAACTTCGTTCACCGTGGCGGCCTATGTGTCGACATGCATAATACATGCCTCAACCAACGTAATCTATGGAGGTTGATCACCTGCTCCAGTTGGCGACCGCGAATAGCTAAAGTTAACGTCAGCATTGCTCGCCCGGCTGACCCACCAGATTCGTGCAGAGTTGCGTAGACAGCGGTCTATCTTAATCCTGTTTTCTTATGGGTTAATTTTCTGTGCCATACATCAGAACTGGCCGAAATGCTGCAGCATCTACTTGACTCTTCACGGAAAGCCGGATTTTACTGCGGTACCAAAGATGTCTCAAACTGATGAATGCCAACCGAGTCTTCTGTATGCGTGCCGACAGATGCGTCTGACAAATGAGATATAGCCGCCCAAATAACAAGACTTATCCGCTTGCTCTATTACTTTGCCAGTTCGAGTGAGGCCAACCCAGTCTTGAAGCAACATTTGAAGATGCAAAACGCATAACGCGCATGGCTGCGCTAGTACTCAACCTATCCAGAAAAGCTTGCAACTTACTTGGAGAAATCACTAATAGTGAATAAGTCAATGCTAACTTAATTTAAATGAATCCAATGCATAGTCTGTCATGATCTAGCAGTGACGATAGACAATGCACTCGCATACGGGCATACGGCGCTCCCTCCTCTCCTCATTTGACATTGAACAGTCAGTCCAACTGGGCGATAAAAGTGAGGAACATCAATCTGAAATCACTCCTTTGGAAAATGAAGGACTATACCGAGAACAGTAGTTTGATTTTTGTAAAAGAAATGCAAATCCACTGTGGGTAAGAGTGAAAAGCCCAAAAACCTATCGGAAACTGTTCCTGTTTCTATGACGTGACGTGACCGTACAATGCCAAGTAACTTGTAACTTACCGAACGGGTGATTTCTCTCAACTCTACCGCATCATCACTTGATGCCTTAGACTTTCTGCTTTTTTGCTTCAAATCATTGGGTAGCACATATCTCTAGTAGGAAGAAATAGTCACAAACTGTATATTTTCACCAAGGATAGAGGGTTTTGAACCCAGAAACAGTGGAATACCTTTCATTTCACCTGTGAGTAACAAAACAACTGGTAAAGCAGAAAGCGGTTGCAAATATGTGTTTCATTTAAATTCAACATTGAGAACTTGGTATTGATAAAAAAAATCACTTAAAAATGTATCTAGATCCTACAATAATTAGTGTCTACCTGATCGTGATCCCATCGATCAGTTTGGAATGCCGTTCACGTTCGCGGGTCAATAAATAAAGCCCAACTCATGTACTCAGTGATCTATTGTGACCAGTGAACAATCTAGAAACGACCATCGCGATGTATTCAGTGGAAGCTTGGAAGTCAAATTTAGAGGAGAAAAAACAAATTCTGATCAGAAAAAAGCAGATCCAACTTATCAGCAAACGTTCCAAATCATACAGGACAAAATTTAAAGTGATTGGTTGAATGATAAAAATGTTAGTTAGTGAGGTAATGCAGATCAAAAGCCACAGGCGCTTCATGAGTCTCCAATTTACCAGATCGAACTGCACCATCATTGCAACTCAAGGTTGGAGACAGCCAGTTCCGCTTTCATCCAAATTCACCTTACTACTTACTGCTTAATTTCTAACGACTTAGATGTTCTCTTTCAGTGCTCGAACAGTCAGTCACTCATGGTGAAAATAGCACATGGCTCTTGGACTGTTTGTCGAATCCAGTTGTATGACACTCATTATTGCCCCCCCCCCTGGATATGACCGTTGGTGGTGGTCGGCTCCGTAAGACAAGGGGTCGAATCCCACAACCACCAACACCACCACCAACAACAACAACGCCCAAATTTCCTCTTTCTGTTTGATGTTTGGCATCCCTCTGAGTGACCACTTCCCGTTTCCTGAAAAACTGTAACATAATATATTCAATAAAAGGAAGTAAACGTGGCGGGGGCCTGGGGATGGGGAGAGAATCATCATTGACGTGTTTTATGCCTGACCTTTGGGTATCAGTAAAAGTAGATAATTACTGTATGATAGAAAAGAACACGTCCCGTGAATCATGAGGAAAGCACTAAACTAATCAAGTGTAAACAAATGCAGTATGTGACTAGCAAATCCAGTGCATTTTCGAGGACTTGATCTGAATTGCACTAAAGTTTTATGAACGTCTTGGTATAAAATTTTCCAGATAATATTTTGCCTCACTCAGTCAGTCACTACACATCAGCCGACTTCGGTGGTGCATTCACCGTCACCTATCCCACTAGTAGAACTAATGCTTAGGGGACTTGTACGATTCGGATATCTATGAGGCACAGCTGTGTGTCATCTCATGGTCATGAGGTACACATCTTCCCCTAAAGAATATGCGGAATTCAATGCAAATAAGTTTGACCACAAACATCGGTTCGATCGTTGTCATTAAATGTTCCTCTGTTTCATTTCCTCGATACCCAACCCACGGACCACAATCAAAGCAAGTGGAGCTTCGTTTACACAGACGCTATGCGACATTGCGATCACAGAGCGTCGGTCGGGTAAATACCGTCCGTGAATCGGACCGCGGTTCGGCTTACTCCTTGGACAATACACAACCAGCTCAGTACACAGGTCCGAGTGGGACAGACCACGAAGGGAGTGAGGCTAGATCCAATGTGGATTTACAGCATAAACAGGCTCTAAAACAACGACCCCGATGGATGGTGCGGAAGGTGAAAAAACAGGCGGACCAATTGAATACAGAAATGGAATCGAACCCGGAACTGGAGAGACCATTTCGCAGACTTAGGCAAGAGATGGAAGAACGTCTGAAATACGCGGATGAAGATGCACGAATGGCCATTGCTGATTTGGAATGGCATTTTCTAAAAGAGAGGCATGAATTGAAACGAGGTAAGCTGCAAGATTGAATGGTGCATTGAATTTGGTGTGTACGTGTGAGGGCCACTTCAAAGTAGATTGCAAGCTCATCAATTCTATGTCCTCTTCCAAAGAAACAATCATTCTCAAGGCAGTTGTTCTACAGTCACTAATGGTTAATGACCCATCTGGATGGCCACGTTCAGAAAACATCACACACAGAGAGAAAACCTAAGAAATATTGAAGTCAAAATTGAAAAGGTGTTTATCACAGTGCGTGATATGTAATACACCAATCGATTCTGCGTCACCTCATACTTGATAATTGATCAGAAGGACAAAATTTTCCTATGCACGACCAGAAATAACCCATCTTATTCAGTCTACGGTAGTTGAATCAGGCAGGAATTGGCACTTTGTGAACTTATGTAAGAGACAGTCGGTCTATTATTTAGAACAAATCATTGTTACTGTGTTTGCTAGAAGTCAATGTGGGCATCACAAACCCAATTTTTTCCGAAAACAGTGTGCGTGACTCTTTTGAGAGAGAAGAATGTGGTGGTGGAACTCGAGCACAAACCACCCCATTGGAATAAGCTAGCTACCGCCAGGTATTTCCGTTGAAATCGTTCTTGTAACACTTCGACACTAAAGAGCTATTTAATTCGGATCGTGAAAGATACACAATCCAAGCTACTTGGGTTCGAACTGTGAATCAAGATGGGTTGACAAATCGGTGAGGCGAAGAAATGTAGGACAGTGATAGTGAGGAAAACCGTGATTAGCAGACTCGATTTTTGACCAATTCCTCCTTATTTTGTTCTATAAATTCAAACCACTACTGCTCCGTACACCTCCTAGTGTGAAATGAGGAAAACCAATTCCTGGTTTAAGATTAATGGGGTTACAAAACGACCCCTCAGTAGTTATGGATATAGCCCTGGCTACGACCTCTTCCCTTGTCACACAAGATTGACCACCACGACAAACATGGAGATATGAACCGCCTGTGCATTAATGTCATATGCGTGCCACTGTTCGTAAAAATCAGAACGCCTGACTGTACACCGTTGCAAGTTGAACAACTCACTCCGTCGGTGGTTGCGTCAGAAGGTGAATTGAAAAAGAAACTTGTCTTCAGTAATCCGTGTTCCAATCTTTGTCATCAATGATTATTGTTGTTGTTGCTTTTATTGATTTGAGCTGACCATCCTTCTGACTTCGCCTGCACACACAATCCTCAGTTCATCGATGCAACCATACACTCGAAAACACTAGACTCGAGTTTCTCTCTTATTGAAGCTCATCAGCAGTGCATATCCACCGTCCCGTCCGGGATTTGAAGTCTGGATCCATTGCATGGAAGGCGTGTACGTTACCAGTCTGCCAACCAGCTCATATCATGGCTGAGCCAAAGTGTCAATTCATGTTTGCTCAGGTATCGTCTTCAGTGATAGTTGTTGTTGTTGTTGTTTTCGTTGTTGTTAGGTGCTCCGAGTTGCGTATGTCATGGCCATGGCAATCTCAGAACCCTAACAAAGAAGAGGGGAGAGGGAAGTGCTGTGCAGTTTTGTGCGGTTAGTCAGTCATGAATGGTTATGACGCGTGGGGTTTTCTTTTCTCTCTGACCGACAGTTTGGTTCCGAGGTTAAAACGTTTCAAACAATTAGATTCAATTCTGGCTCATGTAGACATGATGCTCTTGAACGTCTTCAATTGTGTTTACACGGTGTCTACCTTTGAGAGCAAAAATGGTGAGTGAGTTTTCCCCAAAACCAAATTAGAATACTAGAGAAACAAACAAAGAAACAATCACTTGTAGCGGTCAGAATCGATAAGTTAACTTTATTCCCCATGCTTATTAGTGGTGATAAGTATTTGAAAACGCGGCTGAATGCACGGGACGTTGGATTGCGCGAATGCCGTTGGGGCTCGATTGTAACCAGGACTCAAGACTTATGAGGTCTTTATTACCTGCTTTTAAGTGCTTCGAAGTGTGTTTATCAGGACCATTAAATGGTCAAATCCAAAAGGGTGCGAACACATTGAACTTCCTTTCCTTTCCATTTTTACTTACTTTAGTTTTACTAAATACAAAATGAGAGGGGAAATGTCTAATCCAAGGGCGGCCATACAACACATGATGGGCAAAGTAAAGCAGCGATGGTGGCGGGATTAGAAAACACTTCTCCCGGGGTATTACTTTGGTGATGTTACCACCGGGTCACTAGCACCCACTGATAAATATTTTTTGATTTCCCACTAAGCACTAATTGTGTTTTAACCACGTATTACATTCCCTTCAAGCGCTTGTTTTCGTCTAATGTCACCCTCGTTGCCTAGGAGCCCTGTTTCTCTGTCTTTGTTACACCAATTACCAGGATGAATGACTCGGAAGCGTGGATGCACAAGCCTCATTCTCATAATTAAGGTATCCTGTTAAACAACAAGATTGATCGAACCGCGAAATGAGGGAAGGGGTCAACACTCTCTTCAAACACCATAGTCTGAGACTAAATGGATTTTTAAGGAAGACCTTGGCTCTCAGAAATCGGATCTCAGATGTTAATGCAATCGACTGTGAATTCAGCAGTTCTTAAGATTAATTTATTTGGCCGAATCTGTACGAAAGTGGCCAGTCCCTAATGCTAACCAGACATGTATAGGTCAGTGACGTTGACCAGAATTAACCTGTAGATCGATCGACTGGTTACAACATAGGAATAGACCGCATGTTCTGTTATTGAACAGCTCTTGGATATCCCTTTAGAGTCGACTTCGTGCGTGTGTTGGCTAAGGGGGAGCGGGATGTATGGTCAAGAGCACTCGCGAATGGCACGTCTACAGACACTATGCGAACGCGAACAACACGGAATTCTCGAGGAATTCGATCAGGTGGAGAAGACCTGAGGAGTGTGCAGTCGAAATGAGATACACCTTAGCACTGGTGGCGGCCATTTTTGTTTTGGTGTTGGTGGTGGTGTAGGGGTGATGAAAGATGGAATAGATGGAGATGGTTTCGACCAATTAGTAGATAACCGAGTCAGTGAACAACCGAGCAAGTATCAATCAGAGTCGAGGATAAAATCGACTACTCCGCACGAAGTCACACACACAATAGTTGTGTGTAGCTTGGTTGATCGAGGTGTTTTCCACTTGAAACAAAGGCACAGACCTGAAAGTTTTCTATACCTTTCCGTGTCAGTTATGATTATATCGATGGTTTTCGGTTTCGTTCTGTGCATCAAACGCACGTGTCTATCGACGATGTGTGTTTGTGTGCGATGAAGACCATGAGAACACCACTGAACAACTCACAGATGAGACACATAAGTGCAAGACAGTGTGCAGAATGACCTGCCGAAACCCCGGAGACGTAGAAAGACCGAGGCTTGGATTATGCAAATCATCATGAGCACTTGCCAATGCTAACAACACAACCGTGTTACGTGTCGATGCGTGTGCCAGGACTGTTTATGTGTGTGTGTCGCCGCACGTGTTTTCGCCAGTGTGCGCTGACGGTTGAGGGGAGGGGCTGTACCGGCGGACAGACGGGAAAGAGTAAAGCCTTTCAACCAGAAGCTTTCAAGGCATGCATAAATGACGACGCACAAAACCGCACTGATCGACTGACAGATGCGAACTCAGTTACACTGCCCCCCCCCCGCGCGCTCGCTCGCTCGCTCGTTCGTTCGCTCAACGCTGAGCTGTTTGATCGACATGTGGCGACTGGTGCGGGACTGAACGGTTCATTTTTGGCAATGCAATTGGTAACTGGTTCATCGATTGACCTCCGCACACATACCGAAAGTGTGTATGTAGGAAGTACAGGGATTGTAGCTTAGACCTACTTCCGAATCCAACCTCCTTACCCCCGTCCCAACCCTCCCCCCGGCACTGTCGAACTATGCTCTGCTCACTTTTTAACTTTCTCATCCGCTATTCGTATGCATGAACGAGTTGTTGTGATGCGAAAACTAATGCCTCATCAGTATCGCATCTGAAAAGTTAAGGAAAGTACGGAAAAATCGACTGCTTGTTGAGAACGGGGCAAGGTCGAATGTGTGTGTGTGTGTGTGTGTGTGTGTGTGTGTGTGCAAGTAATCAGGATGGAAATGAAAACAGAGGACTGAATATCCGTAGGATTTGTCCTTTTAGAGGTTTCGATGCAAATTGCTTCAAAACCGAAAGCAGACAAAAGTCCCATAATATAAACCTTTCATTCAATATATTCTCAATCACTAAAGTAATGAAGGCCGATTCCCATATCCTACACTAATTTGGAACGTCCCAATACACTGATATATAGGGTGAAAATCAATAAGGCTGATTGCACGACAAGTCGAAGATCTGCGTCAGTGACTCTGTGAAGCATAACAATAGCACACAGCAGTAGTATGAGGAATATAACTGCATTGTGATTACTGCGTCTATCTGGTTTTCGAGTGTGGATTACAGATAATCAAACATCGAAACTGGTTTTTGATTGAAGTTACCAACGGTCAAATCAGTTTAGTTTCCGTCAGATTGGAAATGACCGGAGTCACTCGAATGTCTGGAATTCCTTCATGGATATTAACACGGAGCTAGCAACGATCACCGTTTGTTCACCTGAGAAATCAGAAAAAGTTACAATTTATTTCAATTGAGGCCTGGAAGATAAGCGTCGCTGGAACTCGCTTATAAAGTACATCCCGTCCCATTATCAACTTCGGTTAACTTAAGGGTATAAACGTTCCGCATTCTTGTGGCCTTTTCAGAGGGTTTTTTCTACATTTTAGATGGTGAATATTTGGATTAGCTCATTCGCGTTTTTCACAGGTACCAGGCACTGCTGATGATGTTCGATGTGGGTGGGTTTCAATCCTTGGGAGATCGTTAATTCCCCACTGTTTGTTTGCATTTTTGTGCGATGGAAATAATTGTGATAAGCAACAAAGAGCACTGGGCAGCTGTTTCGTCCTGTTTGGGACTCGCCAGAAATGCGTACTTTTTTGTGTCCCTGCCAGGACTCGGACTGCGAATCGTCGGCCTGGTGCCTGTGAAAAACCGAATGGGCTAATCCAAATATTCACCATCTAAATTGATTGAGCCATTCGCACAAGGTGATAACCATCGACCGTGTAGCCCAAGGATAAGGGTTTGAAGTTCCAGCCCGAAGAATCGCGGTTCGAGTCCTGACAGGGACACAAAATGTACGCGAGACCCAAACAGGACGAAACAGCTGTCCAGTGCTCTTTGTTGCTTATCACAACCATTTCCATCGCACAGGTTTCTTCCACATATTAATCATCCGATTGTTGGAGAAATCTAACCTGGCTATTGTTCTATAGACATCACTTCCCTTAATTTCTTTCCGTGATCCTTTTCTTTCGGAAGTCTTAGTCTACTTGAATCGGTCATTATTCTCTATTGTATCCCCAAAGAAAGCCCCTTTTTGTCAGGAAAACCACTTGACGTCCACAGACTATAAGGATTTCTGCTAGGAACGGTTTATCCGGTACCGCTTTACGAGATTATCCTCGCTATTGTTCTCCAACAAATGGTTCCCCCTGGGATTTATTATCAACACTCTCCAACACGGAATTAGATCATTCAAGTGAATCGACCTTTGCAGAACTCCAAACTGTTTATGTTGGTTGTCGTTTGCTGCTTGCGTGACCTCTGTGAGATAATTTATCGCAATGGGAGCTCTGGTTTTCTGTTTTCTAGCAATTCTCTCTCACGTTTGCAGTTGGGCTTACTGATAGGGCCCCATTAACGACGGCAACAGTTACCGTGAGTTATGTCAGAATCCTTGACTTCTGAGAATATACAGCAGTCTTTCAGCTGGTTATCCACATACTAGTTGCTTTCACTGAATCAGTCACACAGCCTCCCTACAATGCACACAGACCGATCCTGTCGGTCAGTCTTCTTGTAAATCAGCGATTGCACATGTGCACTGATCTCAGAGCATTGAGGCTGCACCTATCGGATGCGAACGTCACCTATGATAGATACCTCAGTTACTAACCAGTTTCACGGGGTCATGTTTGATAGCCAGTGCCTCATCTTCCATGCGGTCGAGAGTAGACAATAAATAACAATCCGAATACACACTTTCCGTGGAAAAGTTTCACGGTTCTAACCACGGTAGTCAGAGTAAGTACATACTCTATAGAACAATGGGTGTGGAAATTGAGTCCACTGCTTTTGCATCATAATGATTAAATAAATATTGTTTATTATACGTGAAGAAATGGAGTAGCCAAAATTTAACAATCAAGATTCCCCAAAATCATCATGTAATACCACTCACTGTACTACCGATTTCCTGATAAAAGTGCATGAAATCCTTTTGAAAGAAGTGTAAACCAATTTTCCGTTGAACGAAATGACCACGCACCCCCAACCCCTGCTATTTAAGGGTAAGAGAAGGCACTCAGTTAACCTATACCTAAGATTAGTTACTTCGAATTGTAATCCCAGAAAAGCAATTTCAATATTATTGTTCAAATAGTTGTTTGGCAGATTTGAAGTTTGTATGTCGATTGTGAAAATTTCAGTAGCCTCGGTGGGATTCGAACCCACACATGGACGCCGCCTACGCTTTGTACGCGCATGCTCTACCAGCTGAGCTACGAGGCCACACCGATAGCACTGAACTTTTCACTATCAACATACAAACTTCAAATCTGCCAAACAACTATTTGAACAATTCACCTTGTCTTAGAACCTCATTTGGTGGAGTCCGGTGAATTATAAGGAAAACCTGCCGGGGCAGTCAGCTTACATGCTAACTGGTGGATGCCACATGCCTCTGTAAGTCGGATGGGTAAATTCGAATGTGAAAAGATCAGTGCTATCGGTGTGGCCTCGTTGCTCAGCTGGTAGAGAATGCGCTTAAATATTATTTTCCATTCGTGATCTTTCAAATTTGCTAGCCTTTGAACGAGGTGCACCAGTTTCATTTTGTTTGTACTCTCCTCCCGGTATCCTGGTCCTTCACTCACCTGCATCTTTTTGTTTATAGACTATTTGGAAGCTTTAGCCGAGTTCAAACAACGCCGTCTGATGTCCCTTGGCCAGTTAAAAAAGTCCCGCATCAAGGGTTATTTTGATATTCGACGCAAATGGCTCATGGCCCAGCATACGCGTGAGATGGACTGCCGAAACCGGGCCCAACAGGAATCGATGAAACGTCTGGCTATGGCTCAGGCAATCGAGAGGCAAACCGCGTGTCGGTTAGCTCGAACCACAGCCAAAGGACAACGCAAGGTTTCCTCTGTGCTGAACAATATCCATTCCCGAGATGGTTCGTGGGATCGAGAAACTTCGAAAGGACCAGGTAGTTCACAGACCACTTCGTCTCTGGATGCACGACCAACCTCGGCAGATAACACACTGATTGATATGATCTTTACCAAAACCGGTCGATCCACACCAGACAATCTGAGTGTGACGCAGCCGAACAAACCGCCGATTGTTCCACCCTCACGACCGTATACGTATTACGATGCGGCTACCGCCACTCGATCGGCCATAAATCCATTATTGGACGGAGATGAGATTGAGATCAAGACTACCCACTCCGCTCGGACATTGACCAACTATGAACGGGAGCCGGAAAACACGACCAGTAGTCTATCGGTCGGTAGTTCAAAACGAGTTGGTACACGCCAGCCCATTGGACGGCCTAATTTCAAATCAGGATTACGTCAGGCGAAATCGGTGACCAGTATCCATTCCGCGTTAGATGTAAGTGTTTCGGGGTGGACGTACTTCCGGTATATTTTATTCTGTGTGTCTCTGGCGAGGGGAGGGGGGGGGAGGGATAATGGGGCAATAGGAGGAAGGATATTGTATGTAAGCAAGCAGCAGACAAGCAAAAACTGTAGATTCTCGATTCTCTCACAATATATGTATGTATACGGGAAATCAACCTGTACTGGAATGTGTGAGCTGATCACCCAAATAGGGATCAAAAGCAAAACAGTCACAAGCCACTTTGATAAATCCAAGAAGTCAGTACCATGTAAAACGTACAAACGTGGAATATCAGTTGATAATAACAAAGGCAGACAATCACGGGCATTGTTGTGATAGGGAGGAGGCTAAGCGAAATCGTTCAAGGAACCTGGAACTGGAAGAATCTAATATTCACTGAATAGATGGGATCACAGGGAAAAGCAACGTATTAGAAACTAAACAGCATTTTTCGAACGAAAACCCCGCGTCCAACCTCGAGCAACCTGCACGCTCTATTCACTGGGGATGCAACCAACCAATAAGAAAGAAGGAAAGATGATCGATCGAAATTGATTGACTGGTCGACTGGGTGTGGCTAGTTCGGATGATGGGCGAGTCTGTGAACACACACGATAATCAAGCTGCGTTGTAGGTCCGCTTCACTGCACGCGTCAGACGTCTGTTCATGAGGTCTCCTTGAAAACGTAGACGAATGAATAATTTCTTCTTTTGGACCTCATGAATCTGTTTGGGTTGTCGCCTTTCCTGAAAGTTTCTCTCAGTGAACCGTTCAGGATAACCGTTTTCTCCGGGAATGTCCTAAATTTTTGTTAGTTCTTCATTTACCACATTGTCACCGCAGATCTTGCGCACTCGTGATGTGAGACTCTGAATTAAACTTCTCTTCTGTCTGAGTGGGACGAAGCTGTAAAAGTGTGTAGATTGTCCCGTCCAAGTTGGTTTTCTATGTGTTCGACGCTCCAAAGAACGATCATCTTCTCAGAGGAGTACCACATCTAGGAAAACCAATTTGTCATTTTCTTCAGTTTCCAACGTGAACTGAATTAATTTGTGAGCTTCGCTGAATCTTGGGAACAATGTTGTTGTGTTCTTACCTTTTGGTGTGAGACAGATTATGTCCATAAATAAGAAATTCGACGGATGAGAAAGCCAACACATTGTGTTGCATGAAGAGTCACTCTCAGATAATAATGCCCTCACCGATGTCATACAACAATGATGCATTCATGGAGGACAGCGACACTGTTTGTGAGGGGTCTGGTGATTTAGACGGAGTGCAGGAACGCGCAGGAGTGATTCTGATCCAAGACAGTTGACTGCATCCTGACACTGAATATGATGCTATCTAGTTTGATATGTTCAAAGATTGCCTAACTTCAAAGTTATTGAATAGAGAGAGATTCCGAAGTTTTGGGTTACTTCAAAAGATAGGAATGTAGGCCTCCTTCCTACTTACTGTTTCAGTTAATTAAATTGAATTAACAATAGGGTAAATGAGTTATGAAGTAAACTGGAAAAATCACAATTCAACAGTTCGGCACTTAGGTTTCACATCCTATTGACTGTTGTGTCTTTGATGATTGGCATTATTGCCTTTACTCAATCGAACTGGTAAAAATTAGCAGTCCAAAGTTGGACATGATTTGTTTGGTTTAAACCATACGTAGCTACAGAATCTTGGTCTGTGTATTGATCGTATATTGCGGAGATCATGCTCCATGGGAGTTGGAAAAGAAACAGTTGCTCACAAACTAAGCAACCTCCACTCAAAGACAATCTACTCTCCGGTAGTTGACAATGTCGAATGTAACTTTTCGAACACTACATCAGAGTAGTAAAGGATTTCTTCCAATTATAAAGGGAATGAAATTTAAAAAATACAGTCTGATCAACCCGGTGGTGAAGTGAGTTGTACGCATGGGTTCTACACGTGACGTTTCGGGTTCGAGCCTCAGTTTAGGCTATGGCTTCGCATTGATGATGGGACCTAATTAAATCGAAACAACTGTAGGCTATTTTCTCCGTTTAATCCATTGGAACCGGAATT